ACCTCTTATGAGCAAACATATTACTGTGTCCAGAGGAGGACTGGCATGTTATAAAATTTCAATGGTCAATTAACAAAGATTTATTCTTTGTCACTCAGGTATTTTCTCTTTTTCTTTCAATAATGACCTCTTGGAATGAAGCAGGCTGTGTTTTTCTTCTGCAGTCTTCAGTGGGGGCATGGGTCTCAGCTACAGAGCTGGGCTAGAAGAGAGCCCATCTCGATATTTAAACTCTAAGCGGCCAGGCTCTCCGCTTTAGTAGAGTGGACACTTGGACTAAAAAGGCGGGGGGGGGGGGGGGCGAGACCAAGAGTGAGAGAAAGAAAACTGGGAGAGAATGTATTTTTTAAAGCACTTCAGCCTGTGTTTACTACGCGTTTATTTGGTGGAACCTCATTCCAGCAGTGCAGCCAACTGTCCCATCGGCAGCGGCCGCACCCTTTGGACTGCTTTCCATTCCGTCTTAATTTGGAATTCATACAGTCCCCTTCCATTCGCTGTTTTCAAGGTTCTCATCCTATTCCAGGTTCGTGCCCTGTACATTTGCAACCAGCTGAAATTGGAACATATATGTCTTATATATACACGTATATTTACTATATTATCTATAAATTTCAGTAACGAAACAGAGGTGAGCTGCTCCTCAGCCTCTTATTTTCCATGTATTTATTTCACTCCCCCATAAAAAAGAAAAATCTGTTTTATATAATGTCTGAGAGTTAAACATGCTGTAAGAGAACCTTGCCTAAAATTGTAAATTCTTCTTGGTGGAGAAGATGTGATTTTTGCCATCACACAGGAGAAGAGAAGAACCAGCACGGGCTTTAGTCTCGCACCCAAAGATGATTCATCAACTCACTCTTTTATATCAGTCTGCTGCAAAAAGTTGCAAACCTGAGGGGTTTGTTTGATTTGCCCAGGGCCCGGTGTAGTTCCTGGTGAGGAGAACCCATGAGCTGTTGGGGGTCATTGTTCCCACTGCCTCTGCCCTTGTCCAAGTACCCACTGGGCCAGGCCATGGAGGGCACCCTCTGCTCTGTCCAGCTTGCATGCCCATCAGTTGTCTGCACCCTGCTGTCAGCCCAGGTTTTCAAAAGTTAGGTCAGGAGCCTAGGCACTGTCTGTCATCTACTTCCTGATTGCTGCCAGGAAGGTTCTGATGGACTCCAAGGGCAGATGGATCGCCCGAGGGTACGAGGAGAGAGAGGAGCTGTGCTGGGCAGATGCTGGCATCCTGGGGTCTTTTCCAAGACGTTCCAGCCTCCTTCTCTGACTTGTTTAAGGACAGAGAATAAGGTTGCAAAGGAAATCAAAGCCTGATGTGGAGAAACGAAACATGAGACCTACTGACTTTTTAAAAAACATTTTAAATGGCATTCTCTAAGGTTTCATTTTATACTGAAGGCAGCTGTAATAAGTTTTGGAAGACAGTGTAAGGTTTCTATTACAGAGCGATCCTGCTTGCAGTTTTCTACCAGAAGTGAGAAAGGGCCGAGGGGGAGTGGGGGTGGTTAAGAGGTTGTTTTGTATAAGGTGAGAAAATTTAAAAAGATAAATTCAAGACTGTAAGCGTGTAACATTTGGTATGCTGTAATTTGCAAATGCAATAACATTCAACCATTGCAGAGGGTTTTTTTTTTTTTTTCTTTTTGGTGTGTATGAAAATAGTCGGGATAGCAGTGGAATAACTTAATAACTGGAGCTCAACATCACTTTGACCACAAGTAAAACAAGAGTACAGCTCTGCAGTGGGCCCTGCCAGTGTTGCCCCAGTGACTAAATTCCCTGTCGAAGACTGGCACAGGCCAGAGATGTCGGGCTGTATGAAAGCACTCATTGTTCACAGGGCATCGTTATTTGGTATTACATGCACAATGTTTGCTTGTGAAACGATTTATTAGAAACAAGCACGTTTAAGAAAGAAGACTTGGTTTGAAATTCAGTTGATCTGGCTTATGACATTTAAGATTTTATAGTACCTTTGTTTCTAAGAATAGATATTTAGGCCCACTGTAAATATTTGTGTTAAAACATAACATGCGCACACACACGTGTAAGCACAAAACTGGAAAATTGAGCCTGGGAATGAATGAGTACCTAAAGTTCACTTTTGTTTGGGAAGAAGCAAACCTTTTTAATATTTGCTAGGTACAAAGGAGCATAGTTTGTGAACTTGGCTCTCAGTATCCAGCCCAGAGGACCGCTTCCCCTCATGCTGTGAAGTCTCTTGGTAGGAGGCCTGGTGAGGGCAGAGAGGAAGACTGTATTTGGACTTAACTCTGTCCTTTCCACATGGATGAGGCCAGTTGGGATTCAGCTGAACCTCGGTCACTGCCCTGCAACAGGTCCTTGTGGCTTCCAGCCAGCTGCCAGCCTGACCAGGAAGCTTGCCGTTGCCCTTCCTCGGGACAGTGTATCAGCAGGAGTTTCATGTGATGCTTGAAGGGGCCAGCTGTGAGATTTTTCTGCCCACAAAAACTAGAAGTCTCGACTTCTGGTTCTTTGCTCAGCCTGCATGGGTGACATCGGGGCAAATGAATGACTTCTTTGGGGACTCTGAAATTCTTATCTTTATGATGTGAAAATGTTGGTATCTGTGAAGTGATGGGAGATTCTGGAATGAAATGTGCTATGGGTAACCACTAGCACTTTTCTTTTTAAAAGGCCAGCAACAGGCTTATGCAGTAAAATCAATTTGCACATGGTCTGGCTCCTGTCCAGCAGATTCCATCAATGATGTTTTAATCTGAAAGGCCCAAAGACAGGAAGGCATAGATATCTATCGTTCTAATTTGCTGTTTCCAGCCTAGTGTATGGGGATTCTCGGTGCAGTGTGGATATATTATTGGTTTGGTGAGCTGGCTGGGGTCTCCTCACTGTGCTTTAAGATGTAGGTTAAAGGCTGTGGTACCCATAACTGGGGGAGGTAGAGAGGGAAGAGGCTGGTGTACGCAGGCCTGTGGGACTGGAGCATATTTGTGAATGACCCATGGCTGGGTTTTGTGTGACTCTTGATAGAGCTACCACATAGGAAGGTTCCAGTAAGTTTGTAATTATAGTGCTTTTCTGGACAAGATCACCCAGCAGTCTGGTGTTATGTTACTCAGTTCTTACTGTTGTAAGAACACTAAACATGAGGACTACCATCTCAACAAATGTTTAAGTGTACCACACGTTGTCGTTGACTGTAGGCATGATGTTGCACAGTGGGTCTCTAGAACTTATCCTTCCTGCTGGACTGAAATTTATGCCCCTTAATTACCAGCTCCCCATTTCCTTATCTGCCCCAGACCCTGGCAACCACTGTTCTACTCTTTGATTCTACGAATTTGACTGGATACCTCATATGAGTGGAATCATACAGTATTTCTCTTTCTGTGATGGTCCTCTTTCACTTAGCATTATGTCCTCCATATTGTCACACATTGCAAGATTTGTTTCTTTTTTAAAGCTGAATGTTTTTTCGTTATATCTGTAGACCACATTTTCAGTGTTACGCATTCATCTATTGATGGACATTTGGGTTGGTTCCATATCTGGGCTGTTGTGAATAGTGACGCAGTGAACATCATAGGAGTGCAGATCCTGATTTCAGTTCTTTGAATGAATACCTAGAAGTTCTATTTTTAATTTTTTGAGGAGCCCCATACTATTTTCCATTTTGTATTCCCACCACAGTGCGCAAGGTTTCCAGTTTCTCTACATCCTTGCCAGCACTTGTCTCTCTCTCTCTCTCTCTCTCTCTCTCTCTCTCTCTCTCTCTCTCGCTCTCGCTCTCGCTCTCTCTCGCTCTCTCTCGCTCTCTCTTGCTCTCTCTTGCTCTCTCTTTTTTTTTTTTTAAGTAAGGCATCCTGACAAGCAGAAGATGTTGCCTGTTGTGGTTTTGATTTGCATTTCCCTGCTGATTAGAGACTTTGAGTATCTTTTCATATACCTATTGGCCATTTGGCTTCTTCTTTGGAGTAATGTCTGTTTAAGTCTTTAGCCCATTTCTTCATTGGGTGTTCCTTAATTCCTGAAGTGTTTTGTGGGTAGTTAATAACACCCCTTGACTTGGTTGTCTCTACAAGATTTCCTCAGAGACCACCTCTAAATTGGAGAGAAGTATCTTCAGGCATAAGATAAGAGGGAGCGTTCTTTGTTGAGAGCTTTTTCCTTAAGAAAGAGAGACAAGAGAGGTGATGAGTAGAAAGTAATTTTGGGTGTATCCTCTGTGGGACCCCCTTTAAGACAGTCCAAAACAGAGCCAGGATTTGAGAACTGGTACCTCCTTATATTTGTTTCAGTGCCAAACCTGAATAAGCCTGAATAAGCTCAGGAGTGTGTACTTGTGCATCTAGTACCTGGCACAGAGTAACAATCTGATATTTATCAAAGAAATGCATGGATGAGTAAAGAATGAATGAATGGAGTAAATTCCATGATAAAGAGATAGATCTTATTGTTAGTGGTCTGCTTATAACTTTGTCTGATTTTTAAAACAAGGGATGGGAGTCTTCTCAGAGTGTGTTGGAAGTGTTTTGGGTGGTACTATGCCTAAGGGGCCATTTTTGGTATTCATGGTGACCTTAAAGTTAGTCCTGCCACTTGCTCATAATGTTAAGCATATGTTCGAGATGAGTCTTGGAGATTATTTCAAATGGAATAAGTCTTCACTTACTCTGCCATTTGTCCTTTACTCTGCCATTTGTCCTTTAGATTGCCAAAGTAAAATATTTTCTCTTATTCATTTGGTGGCCACAGACAACGCATAGCTTGGGGTGTAAGAAGTTATTTTCTCAATTTTCTAAATAAGTATTCTTTTACAAGGGTCGCGCTCCAGGGGTCTCCTTTGAAGCCATTTCTGTTATTCATGGGGCCAGGGTGTTATTCCAAAGAAGTCAGCCAACCAACCTGAGGTCTTTCTGGCTTGAGTTCGCTGACAGCCTTCTGGGCAACACAACTTATTTACTGGTCTCTCATCCCATCCCTGCTCCTCCTTTCTTCCCTCTGTCCACCAGAGCGATCACCACACCGGCCCATCCTCCAAGCTGGACTGCCAGCAAATGCCTCCACAGTGGTCGGAGGCGATGTGGAGTTTGTCTGCAAAGTTTACAGCGATGCCCAGCCACACATCCAGTGGATCAAGCATGTGGAAAAGAACGGCAGTAAATATGGGCCTGATGGGCTGCCCTACCTCAAGGTTCTCAAGGTAAGGATTTTCTGAATCCAAACGTGCCCACAACTGGGGGTCTCCTCCATGGGTTTGGCCACAGGTCTTTTGGTTTCCTATTAGATTTGAGGGACAATGATTCTCTTTTTTGACTGGCCAGTAGAAAGTGTGTTCAGGAATTAGCAGATCATGAGACTTGCTAGTAAAATTCCAGGAGAAAATTGTGACGTAGGGGAAGAACTACTAAACTTGGAGACAGAATAGTCGAGCTGTTTATCAGCTCTGGGATTGTAGGCATTGAGGCTTAGCTGCACATCTGTAAAAGTGGGGATCATGGTGCCATCTACCCTCCAGGGTGGTCGTCAGAATAAGTGGGAGGAGGTAGATGAAAAGGGCTTTGTAGGCTCAAGGTCTTGCAATGTTTATTGTTACTTGGATGTTGTTTTTATTAATAGGACATTACAATCCAATTCTAGTAGCCACCTTTTAGAAACAATTTAGATTTTCTGTTTCAAAAAACCGCTTAACCTTTGACATTCATTTACATGTGATTTAGATAATCAGTTTTAGGAAATGTTTCTGCACCAGGAAAATGTTGAACAGGAAAAATATCTTTCCTTTTGTTGTTTCTTGTTTGGTTTTCTGCAAGCCCCCATTTTCATAGCATTGGCCTCTTTATTTTTTAGATTGAGCTTGCTCCTCAGGAGGGTGACAGCAAGGGCAGCTAAGTCTGTTCAGCTAGTTAATAGCTCCAGCCTGCTACATCCTCTGTGTTTAGTTGCTCATAGAGAATGTCCTTAAGAAGAATATTCTTCCAATAGAACCATGAGTGGCTCAACTAAGAACTCTCAGCCAATGAGGTGTTTTCACCAGCTAACAATACCAAGGATCAAAAAAGTTGAGGTCTGGGCATGGTGGCTCATGTGTGTGATCTCAGTGCTTTGGGAAGGTGAGGATCGCTTGAGGCCAGGAATTTGAGACCAGCCTGCCTGGGCAACATAGTGATACCCTGGGTCTACAGAAAATCAAAAAATTAGCCAAGCGTGTTGGCATGAGCCTGAAATACTAGCCACCTTGGAGGCTGGGCAGGAGGATCACTTGAGTCCAGGACTTCAAGGCTGCAGTGAGCTGTGCTTATGCCACTGCACTCCAACCTGGATAACGGAGTGAGACCCTGTTTCTTAAAAAAAGAAAGGGAAAAAAAAGAAAAAAGCTGGGAAAAGATAACCAACCTGGGGAACTGCCAACTCATTCCACTAGCTATTGACCACACCCTTTCACCCTTTCCCACCAAGTCTTTCCATTGTCCACCACTTGACTTAGTCTTTCAAAACCCACAGCCCTTTAATGCTTCTGTTTAGATATAATGGAGATTGTTTTCTTGTGGTGTGTTGGTGGTGGGACCATAAACAGTGCTAAGTCCTTCCTGGTTGGCCGTTATATTGTTCTCCTGTGTCTGTTCTAGCACTCGGGGATAAATAGTTCCAATGCAGAAGTGCTGGCTCTGTTCAATGTGACTGAGGCGGATGCTGGGGAGTATATATGTAAGGTCTCCAATTATATAGGGCAGGCCAACCAGTCTGCCTGGCTCACTGTCCTGCCAAAACAGCAAGGTAACAACGTTTTTGTTTTTATCTTTTTTTAAAAAAGAAAGCTGGATATAGAAGCTGAAAAGACTTGGTGCTTTGGGAGACTGCAGGCAGCTTATAGGATAACTCTTGTGGCCTTGGTATATTTATAATAATCTTTCTTTGGTGATGCAGCTGGTATGGTGCCAGTAGCCATGGAAAAATGCCCACGATGTTCAAAGTGCTTGCTCTAATTTCTTTTCAAGATTACTCTCCACCTCCACCCAGTTTTTAAGTCGTTCTTTCTTGTTTATCTTGTTTGGGCTGCACATTTCCCATCATTACAGCACATTAACACCATTTTAAACACATACCTGCACGCCTGTTGAATTGTACATTTGAATATCAGCAAAATTCATGTCTCCTCCTACCCTAAGCTTTTAGAGAAATATTAATTTGTCCAACAAAGCATCTTTTCTTTGGTTGTATATCTGATCCTTTTGAGATACTGTCCTTGACCTTGCTGTCCCAAATTTGAGGAGAGTTCTTATTGAATGAACACACTGCTAGGTGCTATGGAAGGCAGAAAGTTGCTTTCTTAGTTTGTCATGTCTCACATTTAAGCGTGTGTATTAAAAAAGAAAAAAGAGCCCAATTTTTTTGTTACCAACATCATCCTGTCTTCCGATTTTTTTTTTCCTCAATGGTGTGTAAGGCAAGATAGTTTTGCAGAAGTAAAAATAATCAGAGCCTGGTAACCAAGACAACCATCCACCTGGTTGATTTCCACAGAGCCAAGAGGATATGTGAGGTGTTGACCTGGGCTTATCTGCAGCATGTTGTTTAACCACACAGCAGTTTAGATAGAATCATCCTTTTTTCAAGGTGGGAGTCTGCTGCTAACAGGGCCAGAATTCAGCTTGGCCTTCTGGGTGCTGTGCTTTTGGAGAACCACCCCTAAATTCAAATCAAAGCATAGACCAAGAGAATGGACCTCTGTGGGCTGATTTTTCCATGTGTTTGGTTGTGTGCATGTCTAGGTGGTGAAGCCGGTGTGGTGACGGGCCTGTGGAGGTGAGCTGGTCAGTGTTGCTCCGTGTCTCTCGGTTGTGAGCTTTGTGGATGGGCTGCAGCTGGAATCTCCTGGTGGCCAGCACTCCCTGGAGCCGCCAGCGTGATGCCTCGTGGTTCCACGGCCCCCCCTCCACAATCATTCCTGTGTCGTCTAGCTTTTTCTCTTGCTTCCCTTGTTTTCTAGGCCGCCGGTGTTAACACCACGGACAAAGAGATTGAGGTTCTCTATATTCGGAATGTAACTTTTGAGGATGCTGGGGAATATACGTGCTTGGCGGGTAATTCTATTGGGATATCCTTTCACTCTGCATGGTTGACAGTTCTGCCAGGTATATACTGCTCTTTCTCTCTGGGGTTTTTTCCTTTTTCTTGGTTGATTGCTATGAAATTAACACAGCTTCTGTTATCAGAAATGGCCCCTTTTATCCTTGCATAAAGATTTTTAAAAGTGTTAAAAATTATCCCCTGGGGATTAAGAAACCTGCCTTGGAAATTCACTTAGAATGAGATCCCACACTCACATTTATGATCAAGTAAAATTTCACCCTTAAAACCTGAAGGGATCTTATCTTTTGAGCGAGTCATTGAGTCAAATGTATATAAATTAGCCCATCCCCCTCTCTCTTAAGGAAGAAGTGGAAATTACTTTGTAAAATTCAAAGTAATTTTTTTCTCACTTCAAATTCCATTTTGCTAAAATCCCATATGCGTTTTTATTGCCTCATTCATTTCACATTTTTAATGAGATGTAAATAGAGGGATGTATGTTGAGGTATTTTGGGAGTAGCACTTTTGATTGTAGGGTGCACAGAAGCAGTGTGTTACCTACATTGGGGATCGGTGGCTTGGTGCATGTGGCGATAGAATGGACTCTGTTTGCTTTTATTGCGAAGCATGCTCCTTCCATCTTGGGCTTGATGTTATTTCTGCCTTACAGAGAAATAAACGTCAGTGTAACCCTGTTGCCTGAACATTGCTGCTCTCTGAATCTTTAATTAACATCTCTGTTCTAGTGAAACTTTCTTCATAAACACTGTCCTCTCTGATGCATCTCCCTCTTTGTCATTTCCTTTGTGAAACTGCATAGACTGTGGTTTGCTAGCTTATGATGTTCCACTCCAGTTATTAATTCCTTATTTTTAGAGTGCAGTGCCTACCTGCATGCTTATTTTATATCTAGTAAAAATAAATTGATCATTTGATTTTGTGCTGTTGCTGCTAAGAGTTTTGACTGTCTTGCAAGTATTTTTCTGATTAAAATGTTTAAGCTTTAAATAATACCATTGCATCCATTTTTTCTTTTGTTATGAATCTGCTCTGTGAATATTTGCTTTGAAACAGTGAGATGTCTCATGTTGAGCTTGCTTTTACTTGCAGTACTGCATTCTGTGATGCCTAATTGGCACTTCTTAACCAATTTGCCTGATAGTACTAGCACATTAACTAAGAATGCAACTTGAGAAAAATGTTATTTGGAAATACACTGCTTGTAGATGGATCATTGAGGTCTAAGGAGAGGAAAGTCATTGGAAGAAGAATGTGCTAAATTAAGTAATTGTATGTATACTCACATGCAATACCATTAATATTTATGCTTTAAGAGGAAAGTTCCAAGTGGTATATCAGTATCACTAAATATACAACAATTTAAATGGTTATTAAGGAGTCCTATAAACTAGTCCTATAAATTTTATGTATTATGGACCTAATGATTCTATATTACAATGATTCTATATTATAGAATGAGTCTATACTATATTGGTTATAATATAGCAAATGCATTGGTTTGTTTAGTGAATAACATGCTGGACTGTATTAAGGAACTCACTGAAGCATTTATGGACCAGCCTACTAGATAAATATTTATTTCATATGGAACTGTGTTCATCGGGGATAAACTATGTCTTTGAGTCCTTCAGAAGAACCTACCCAAATATGACTGAATCATGTGTCACTGTCTCCTTAGAAATACAAGTGGGCATCATTGATATTTAAGAATTTTTAATTTGGTTTGCATTCAGATACTATCATGCAAGACAGCCCTCTCGTTGTGGGTGCAGTTGGTTGTCCTCCTCTGTACAAATGTCTAATGAATGTGGCCTTGTAGCCTGCCCTTTCGAACTTGGTGTCAGCCGCTCACTAGACTGCAGAAGTCCACTGAGGCTGGAGACAGTGACCACCTTGGCCCTGGTGGTAAAATGAGGAATGTTTGGTCATCCATTTTCCCTTGGAGGAGACACAGGGAAGAGGCCCTTGGCAGGCCGGTGGCCCATGTTCTGCAGTATTGAGTTTTTTGGGAAGCCCATCTTGCCTTGAGAATGGTCGTTACCTTTTGATTCCTTTAGTTATGCTATGTTGCATCAATCTGGTATGCTAACTCTGTGGCCCGCTTGTCTTTCCTCTCCACTGTGATCTGCAATCTAGCTCCTGTGAGAGAGAAGGAGATTACAGCTTCCCCAGACTACCTGGAAATAGCCATTTACTGCATAGGGGTCTTCTTAATTGCCTGTATGGTGGTGACAGTCATCTTGTGCAGAATGAAGACCACGACCAAGAAGCCCGACTTCAGCAGCCAGCCGGCTGTGCACAAGTTGACCAAGCGCATCCCCCTGCGGAGACAGGTAACAGAAAGTAGATAAAGAGTTTAAAGAAATTTACTCCTCTCCCATGACCCAGCCAGCTCTTAGATCTCTTGCTCTACTTTGATGCCATGTACTTCTGTGAGCTTCAGTGTGCATGTGGGTCTGTCATGCTACTTGCTGGTTTCCCAGTTAGTGTTTGGTACTTGGAGAGCCAAGTCATGGTGTATCTCTGGGATCAGTGGTGTCTAGTTCTAAGGGCAAGAAAGGACAATAGTGTGAGAGTAAAACAGCTAATCAGCAGGACTGGGTAATTCTGCAGGCAGTTCCCTCTGTGTGTGTTTGACAAGTATAGTGATCTCTTCGGAGCATTAGGCCACTTTTGTTTCCTGTGATCTAATTCTTTTTTTTAAGATAAGCATGAATATTCGCATGAGGCTTATGTCACTAGTAGGAAAGAGACTCCAGTTCTCTTTGACTTATTTTTTATAACTTATACCCTGGGGGTGCATCTGAGCTGCTGCTTGCTTTAAACTGGCGCATGATGTCTTTCCACACTGAATTTCGGCTTAACCTCTCTGACTCTTAAAATAGGATTGTTTGTGTATATTATGTTATTGTTGTTAGTTCTTAGGTGTGGCTATGGTTAGTAGAATGATTTTTGTATGGAACTAGCAGCAGATTGTTTTTAACCTCAGACTTGGTCTTTGGTGGTTACTTTTTGCTTGTGTGTGCCTCTTGATTGGTTTAATTTTGCTTTGGGGGAGTTGAGACAAGACAGAGCCTCCACTTCTATCATATACCAAAGCCCTGCAAAGGTGGGTGGGACAGGAAATGCTTTGACCCTTTTCTGCTTGTTCACAAAGAGAGTAAGGAGAAGGCAGAAGCAAATGCAAAGTGTTTACAGAAATATGGAACTTGGTTGCGATAAAGGTATTTTTTTTTGAAAAGGCAGATGAAACAATGAACTCCTTGGCTCTATGTCAGTGTGTATTTTAGGAGAATTTACAAGGCAGATTCCTTAGTCTTGGTCTCAGAGGCTCTTGTTCAGTAGAATTTTGGATGGGGTCAGGAATCTGCATTCTAAGCAAGTCTCCAGGTGATTCTTCAGTGCACCTTGAGAAGCTCTAGGTTAATCCCAGCCATGCCTCTCTTAGGACTTCAGGTAGCAATGGCACTTTCTGGATAAGGAATTATAGAAGATTAGGAACCAGTTGGTCAGCAGCAGTTTTGGCATGAATCTGGCTGTTCTCAACCCAGCTCCACACTCCACACTGAATGAATCCTTGTTAACTTCTTTGAAGCTATGTCTCAAGCAAGTCTTTCTTCATGGACACTGAGGATAGAATTCAGCGTGTGTATCAAGTACAGATGAATAACCAAATTGTGCTAAGAGCAAGGAAAACCAGGGGCCTCTGGGCCACTTCTGCTGCCAAGAATTACTGTTGTTATTTTGTGTGACACCATTATCATTCTTGGGGTCAGGGAAGCAGAGATGGGGCCAGGTGCCCGACCAGTTTCTGGGAGAGCCCAATGCTAAGATAATTCTTCATGGCCTTGCAGTGCTGTGGCCTTCGGGTTGAGCAGCCATCCCTCCCTCTCCCTTCTTTCCAGTTAGCCCCAGGCCATTCTTATCATCTTCCCTTGAGAATCTGGCTTAGGGAGTTGAAAAAGAGGGAGTGGTATTCTCATCTTTTTCTTCCTAATAGGGAAAAATGCTACCTTCTGGAGGAAACCTGTAATTTGACATCGCTAGGCCATTGCCCCTTAACTATTTCATCTTCTTTTTTCCCCCCTGCAACTGTTAGCAGTGCTCGTCTTTGAACTTCACACACAAGAGGCAGATGCCCTTAAACTCCCCTTGACTCAGTCACAGTCGTGTTTTCCTTTCTTTCTAGCCAACTAGCTTTTGTTCACTGTCCATCTCCACCAAAGTTGGATTTGTCTCATCCTCCCTCTGTCATGAAAGGGAACATTAGGGTTCCTTTTTCTTTTTCTTTCCTTCTTCCTTTTAGTTATCATAATTTACTAAGAGCATGGTCAAATCAAGTTATATGTAAGACACAGCCTGTCACATTCGCCTGTGGCACCAAGGCTATTTGGTAATGCATGATACCTATAATCCCAGCTACTCAGGAGGCTGAGGTGGGAGGATTCCCCTGAGCCCAGAAGTTCCAGACTATAGACTAGCCTGGGCAACATAACCAGACACTGTCTCAAAAAAAAAAGAAATGTAATCACCTTGTGTTCAGTGCAGTCAAGGAATATAAGAGAAGCAGAGGAAAGGGGGCAAATACCTGTGCCCCTGGAAAAATTAGTCTCTGAGAGATTAATTCATTTGGGGGAATATTGGCACACTTCAGCTCTTCAAAAGTGCTCAAATGGGGCATGTTATTGGATCTTCACAAAGAGCATTTCGTTAAGCACGGCCCCTTTGGTGGAGAAGGAGATGCCTATCAGGCATCTGGATAAAAGAGGGTTGTTGAACTGGAGCTGGAATGAAAAGTCCTAGAAAGGCCTGCAGATATGTTGATGACAGAGCAAATACCACAGGGATGCCAAGCATGCCTTTACCTGGCGACAGGTGAGCCTGTAATCAGATGTGTGGAAGATGGGTTGTTTCTAGGCATTTACGAGGCCACTTTTCATCTGGTGTTGGCCCAGCCTTCTCTGTGACATAGGTAGCACTCAGTGTCTTCATGGCCTGGACCCTTGCCCCACCCCCAACACCCATACTCACACAGCATCTCACTCAACACTCTCAATCCGTCATTGTTCTCTTTTTAGAACAAGAAGAGTTGGTTGTTTGGTTCCCTTGTGAGTTTTTCCTTCTTGACATTTATTAGTTTGCACTGTACTTACTAATGTAAGGTGGACATTTCAGATGGTTATTTTTTTGAGCAAAGATTTTTTTTTCCAGTACCAAACAAGAAATTCTTGCAGTCATTTCCTAGTAGCCATGAATTTGTTTTGAGACTTGGGATGCACACGTTGCTTGGAGAAGAATAAATAACTTTTGGCTGTGGGAAGGTGGATGGCATGTGACATCTCCCTGTTTTCTTTGATGGGAGCTCATTCCATGTTCCATGTCAGTGCTCAGATGCCCTACTCCTTTGATGCCTGGTGTATTAAATGAGACCAACAGTAGCCAGCCCGGGGAGGGACATCTTTGTGTTCTTGTATGTGACTGTGGGATAGCTAGTGGCCAGTATGAAGCATCTTTTGCACATCTGTGAGTTAAAGGCGGGGGCTTTGCTTTCTGTTTTCCACCAATCAATTGAGTGATGAGGGTGGATGCAGGAGGGGGTGCAGAGGAAACTGAGGATACTTGTTCAGGAGATGCACAGATTGTTGGGTTTGCTGAGCCAGTTTTTCAGTGAGAACATCAGGTTTTTGGGCGCCTGAACCTCTTCCACAGGGGTAGAATAGAGATTTAACTGTCTTAGGGTTGGCTCTGTCCGGGTAAATTCATCTATGCAGTTCACACTTGACATGTCACAGAGTACTGCAGGGTATTTTTTTTTTTTTTTTTCAGACTTACGTTTTACCCTCTCAGCTGCTGATATAGATAGGGTAAAAACCAGAGGATAACTGAGGTCATCTTTTGTAGCAATACCTTTGAGGCAAATGGCATGTTCCTGGGGACCTATGGAATAGGAGGGAGATGAAGATGAAGTGGGAGGAGCCTGTGACTCAGGTGCCAGTTCTTGGGGCAAGTATAGTGATTACCTTTAACACACTGAATTTTGCGAAGGAAAGTTCCACTTTTAGAAGCTCGTTTACTGCCTGGCAGCTGAACATCATGATCTCGAAATATTTTCTCTGTATTTTGGTCAATCAAGGGGTCTACTGAAACCTCTCTGGTTCTAGAAAGCATTTGGATTATTAGGGCGGTCATGGATGACCACTTAATTGGAATCTGCCCTTTCATGTGGGTATCTCGCCCTCCCCGGCCCCCCTTTTGTTGTTCTCTCTTCTCCTTTCCCTGCCTCCGAGAGACATGACAGTTTGACTAAGATCTGACCTGGATTTTGGTTGGTGCCATCTCCTAGCTAAAACGAGTCCATCTGGGACTGGTGCATCCCTGCTCTGATAGGTTTACTCCCAGAGTCCCCAGGAGAGACTTGTGGGAGGCGGAGACTTGTTATGGGAGAAAAGTGAGTGTCTGATAAATTGCCTTTCCTAATTACCTAAGTTTTGTGATGGGGGCGGGGGTGGGGGAGCAACTTCAGAAACCCCTTGGGGCTTTATCTCAGCCGCCTGGCTTGAGGTGGTGAAAGCCTTGTGTTTGGCCTTGGGAGGAGTGTTGGGCAAGGCTTATATTACATCAGAAGTAGTTAACGCTGGGGCCTCCTTTTCTGGTTTTGGACGGTGGTTCACGGCCTGAGTCGGAGGGTCTCTTTGGCAGACTGTGGTCCAAGGGTGTTTGTCAGTCTTCCGGAATAAACACATGAATATTAATCACTCCTATTTGCAGAACATCTTTGCTTCCGCCTGCTCTGTTTTCTGTGAAGTCCCCTCTAGTTGTTAAATTTAATCTAGTATAAGGAGATAACGCTGTTTCTTGGTGGCCCTTTAAAAAGAAAAGAAAAAAAAAAGAAAACCACTTCCTTGCTTAATCTTCCATATGTACTGTGGAAATGTACAAAAAGCACATTTAGTTAAAAGCTTGATTTATGGCACATGGTAAAGAGATTCCGGAAAGTGAGGAAGCTGAATTGGAGTCTGTGAAAATACAAGCTTAAAAAGAAAAAAACTGCCTGCCAAGGTTTGGGAGTGGGAAAACAGTTTACTGGAGTGTTAGCGTTGATTGTTTATAAGTAGCTTACTGAGTACTAACAACGGAATATTTTTAAATTGGTTAGAAAGGAAACTTCAAAATTGAAATTTCTTGGTAGGAATTGAAGAATACCTGATAGGGAAGGTTATTAAGATTTTGTGTAAAGGAAAAAAAAGTGATGATCCAATGTTGCTGAAGAAGTAGAAGGATTTCAGAGGTGGGCAGTAGGAATTACTTGAGGGGCCTGATTCGGAGGAAAGAGCCCCAGTGAAACATGTTGTCCCATGGGGGACTCGCCTGCCAGGGATCACGCCAAGCCTTCGACACAGGTTCTCTCTCAGAGTAAAAGGGAGTGAAGAGAAAGCCAGTTGTGTGTTATAGTCCCAGAGGGAATTTTAAAAGCATAGTAAAAATGCATGGAGGTAAAATTAAGATATACCTCAGCAGACAGAGCATTCGAATTCTGTAGTTTCTTTTTATACTTTGGGCATTTTCTTACCTTCCCCTCCCTTTGTGTTTTTACAAAAGTATTTCCCAGATTTGTACATTTTATCTGAATCTCGGCTGGGCATGGCAGCTCAAGCCTATAATCCCAGCACCTTGGGAGGCCGAGGCAGGAGAATTGCTTGAGCCCAGGAGTTCGAGATCAGTCTGGGCAACATAGTGAGACCTCGACTGTACAAAAATAAAAAAAATAAAAGAATCTGAATCTCTATATTTCCTCTGAACAAAATTTCCTTGAGTAATTCTTTTTCATAAACCTGATTTTTTATTTTTAATGACAACAAAGTTTATAAAATGTTTCCTTTTTTTTTTTTTTAAGTTTTCCATTTTAAAAGCTATCATGTTAAAATCTTGTTGAGAAACTCTGTTTAGGGGAAAGTGTATATATGTGTGAACTTCTGCCATAGTTTTGTGAATGCAGATTCCTTTGGGTCATAGGTTAGCTGCAGAGCAGTTAACTGCAGACTGAATGTTAGATGTTTCTGTTCTGAGGTACCCCTAAGCCATATTCCTCACTAGGACTGTCTTACTCTCCAGCCTTCTTCCTCCTGGATTCTTTATCTCTTGCTTGCTGGGAGTCCCAGCCTGTCCTCGCTGTGAGCAGAGGGCCTTGTCTTCCAAATCAGCAGGCCAGCTGAAGCATATCCTCTTCTGTAGTCAGTCCTTAATGCCACCAGGTTTTCTTCCTGATTGCACAGTTTGACAGTACAGTTGTCCCTCAGTATCCATGGGGAATTGGTTCCAGGACCACTGAGGATAGCATTATCTGAGGATGCTCAAAACCTGTCTAGAAAATGCTATCATATTTGCATATAACCTCTCATATACTTTAAATCATCTCTAGATTACTTATAATGCCTACTACATTGTAAGTGCTATGTAAATAGTTATACTATAGTGATTGTATTTGTATTTTTTATTATTTTTAATTTTTTTCAAATATTTTTGATCTGTAGCTGGTTGAATCTGTGGATGTGGGTTCACAGATTTGGAGGGCCAACCACATCTCACCCACAGAACCACCCTCAGCTGCAAATGCTCCAAGTTATCCAGAGAGAAGTGTCCTTGTATGTTCTCTTTCATCTGGGTAGCAAGTGATTCTAAAGGCACTAAGAAAAATATTGTGGTGTTGGTAGCAAATATTAACTGAGCTCTCACTGAGTGCCAGGCTCAGCACTAAGCCCTTTATTGGTTTTTTCCTCATTTCACCCTCACATTAACTGTGTGCAGTTGGAACTGTTCCTGTCTCCTTTTTAACAGATGAGGTAAGTTAGGCTTAGGAAGGTTAAGTGACTTCCTGAAGCTTGCACAGTTAGCGAGTGTTGAAACTGGGATGTGGACCCAATGGTCTGACCACATGACCCCACATTGTTGTAGTTGGTTGGATGCAGCCACCCGACATGGGGCCTCAAGCCTTGAATAGTTAGCAGAGGAAGGGCAGCAACCAGGGTTGGCTGCTAGGCTGGGGTAGTCACTGAAGTTACCCACATCAAAGGATGTAGAGATGCCACCAAACCCCGCCTGGGAACAGAAGTAAGGGCTGAAAGCAACGATCTCTTAATGCCTCACTCATTTTAGAAGTCAGTATATTTCAAGCATATGCCCTTCATTTTCTTTTCCCATGGTTCATGCTCCGGTTCAGATCCTTATTATTCTAAAAAATATTTTTGTTAAAGAAAGTACTTCTTCAGAAACATAAAAGAAAGATATATACATGGTAATAAAATCCAAATGGTCTAGAAAGTTCTGAAATAAAACATGTTTTTACCCCCTCTCAACCTCTAATCTCTCTCCCCAAAGGTGACCACTGCTAAGTCTCTTCCATATCCCTCCAGAAACTTTTAAATGCCTGTGTTCTCACACCTCGCTGCAGGAAGGCTGCCTTCCCCACATCCTATTCTGTAAGCCTCGCTGATGAGAGCAGTGAGTTTTCAGGGACGAGGCACAGGCACCAACCCTGCTTCTGCCCGCAGGTAGTTAATATCATCCAGAACTGCAGCCCGGAGTAATTGCCCAATAGGTTTCCCTTCGTCTTCTGATGGCGCCACACCGTGTACCCCAGTGGTGGAATTCTGGAAACTCTGGTGTCCAGTGATGAGGAGCTGTACTGTTGGCCATGTGGTGTCCTGGCTGCAAAATCTACCAAACCTCAGCCCCCCAGAACCTGTATTGTCTCATTGCTAGGCTGACACTTTCAAGTTTGTCTGGAGCTTCTTGCATGTGATATCTTCAAGCACAAGTTCCCATTGCAATGAGTGGTGATTTTTGCCTGTTTATGTGAAAGAACTTTCAAGTAGACCTTCTATCCTTTGAAAGCAACAGCCTCCTTCATCCATAGCACTTGGCCCTGATGCAGATTGAGTCAGGTGGATGGAAAGATTTGGGGAGGCACCATTGGCCAAATCCTTTCCTGAATCTTTCTGAGCCCTTGTCTGTGAACAGAGCTCAAGATGTGTATGTGGTTAGCGGAAACTGGAAATCTTGATTTCTCTGAAAGTTCCTGGTTTCTGATGTGTCGTGCAGATGAGGTCACCTCACTACAGTGAGGTTGGACACCATGTGGACGTTGAGGGGACTTTGAAGTTGTCTGTTTCACCCAGGGTGGGGTTCCTGCCTGGACTGTGATATTAGTGGAGAGTGGGATGGATTCCACAGGAGCACTCTCACATTTACCTTCTTGTCTTTTCTAGCTTGCTTCTCCCCTTCGCCTGTGCAACCTGGGCATTTGGGTGTGAGACTCTTGGCTTCAAAATTAATGATTCTTCTGTTCTGCCTTAAGGAAAAAATATGTACTATGTCACAGTGAATAAATATTGTTCATACCATATGCATTATAAAGTTTAGAAATAGCGCCCCTCTGCTCAGAAGGCTCAAAAATGTATTCATGTACATTTTAAAAGATAATGGAAATTCCCTGACCCACTTGTCGATTTTAATACTGAAAACAACTTCCTGTTCCTAAGATGATTCCTTCCTCCCCCAATTCGTTCTTGGTCATCTTCTCAAGTTTCCAACCTGCATTAGGGGCAGTCTGGGTTTACAAAGGAGAGAATCAAGGCTTTCCGAATAGGGTACTTCTGGGTAGGTTCTGTGGTTCCCTGTGGGAAGAATCCAGGACCTACTTTGTGAAGTTCTTCTCAACCACATGTGTTCATCTGGACTTGGTCTTCTCCAGTTCGATTTAAAAGATGCTTGTGAGTGCAGCTGGGGCATGCTGTCCACCTGGGCAGTCATGTAGGAGACAGAACCCAAGGTGGACTGATTGGATGGGCCATGTTAAGCCTTACATTCAGTTCTCTTGGACCAAAGTCTTGTCCATGGTTTAGATAAAGCAGTGTTCAAGAATCCCATGATCAGACCAAGATTGTGTCATAATTCTCAGAAGTTGCTTTCCAGTGGGCTCTGTGTGAATTTTTCTTCACAGAAACCAGCCAAGGGAAGATGATATATTTTAAGAAATACTAATTTTATTAGACACAGACTGAAATGGACCAGGTAAATGAGAAAAATTGGTGGAACCCCACATGCTGCCATGTAGAAGAGGAGCTCTCCGGTGTATTTTTCTTTCTTTGACGCTTTGTCCCATGTGTTCAGTACATGGTTTCCAAAACTGAGGTTGAGAAGAGGCAGCTTATTTTCACTGAATGGCCTGGGGATCAACAAGTTTCCAGAAGGGCTGGAGAAAAATAGAGAATGGCCCCTAGTGCCGGAGTGTTGGGTTACCTTGAGCAAAGAGACTCAGAACTGCTGGAATGTCTTCCACATTCAAATCCCAAAGTTCTTTTCTTGACATATTCTGCTTTACTTTTTCAAAGACAGAGGAAGTGGAAGAGCTGATGTTCTAAACGTTTTTGTGAACTTTCATAAGCACAACATTTATTCATGGTCTGAGCAGGATTAAGATTAGATTGATGATCCGGGGCTCCAGTATGGGTACAGGTACAGGCACAAGCAAAAATACAATAATGAAGCCAGTGAGTTCTGTCTTCATGGCCTCAAGCGACTATCTGAAGGAATTAGGACAGAAAGAAAAGTTATGTTTGGATCAGCCACTATGCAAAATTTTTGCTTGAAAACCTGGTCTTAGGAATGTACAGTTTGGATGAAATCTCGTACTGCATAGATGGGAGGACAGAGGAATCCGAATCCAATGGTTTTTTATTTTGGCTGATGCCTTTGGCCAGCCCCCACTCTCTTCCAATATTCTGGCTGGGCTCTGGCTAACTTGCAGCCTTCTCAGATGGAGCCAGGATTACATCTTTGTCTTTGCATTTTGTATCCAGGTTTCTGCTGAGTCTAGCTCCTCCATGAACTCCAACACCCCTCTGGTGAGGATAACAACACGCCTCTCCTCAACAGCGGACACCCCTATGCTGGCAGGGGTCTCCGAGTATGAATTGCCAGAGGACCCGAAATGGGAATTTCCAAGAGATAAGTGAGTACTTCTGCTGGGCATATCTCAGAATGGAGACGTAGCTATAAATGGGGATATTGGATTAACATTTTCTTTTTATGACCTTTTACCACAGAGGTCTTGCTGTGAGGATGTCAACAGGAGTAAGATTGCATTTCTAAATAACTGACTCCTGTAAAAGAAAATAATGGATTAAAAAAAAAAAGAATAGCTCCTTTAAAGCAGAGCTACTAAACCCTGGCTGGTCCCCAAAGAAGATGGCATCTGGTTATCATTCTTTAAGTGTCTGGGCAATTCAAACCCAGTCAAATGGAATAAAAGTAGAATTATCCAATTTATAAAATAGATCTGGCATTCCAGCTTTTGGTTACTAGAATCATGAGTGTTCTGTGGTTGATTTTTGTGGAGAAATTAGATGCAGAATATAAATAGCTTTAAGGACCTTCACCCAGTGTTGCTGTTTTTAATGGCTATTCATGACATATTGGGCTAAAAATCCACAAATGTGGTACCTGACATCTAACTTTGGTGGTCACCAGCTTTTCTTTATTGAATGATATAGAGGTGTTCCAATCAGATATTTAGTCAAAGTGTGAACACCTGGGCTTTGTCAAAGGCATTGTTGGGAGCTGTGTATCTCTTGGTCTGGCTTGAAGTCTATGTATTTTGGGCTCTGTCGGGTTGGATTTGAATCTTGGCTCTGCCAGTCAGTGGCTGGCAACCTTTGGTGAGTCACCTGATTCTCTGTACTGCATTTGTATAAAATGAAAGCGGGCCTACATACCTCCCAGGACCGAGCACAGTTCTCGGCTTGTTCGCGTTTCCCTTTCATTTCCCTTGGTATTGGTAACCTGAGACCTCTGAACTGCAAACCTCAGCAAGATCATTGTGCTGGGCATAGAGTCAGTGGGCATATCTTGCCTACCAGTCCAAGTCCTCTAGGCAGACCAACCCCTAGACCAACCTTCTGAAATGAAGTGGTTATTAAAGGGCCTTCAACTCACATCTGGGCACTTCCTGTGGGAATTAGAGCCCAGATAGCTTGAGAGTAATGGAAGGAGGAAACACTGACTGCATCTCTGCATCAAATAAACTGGAACAAGCTCTTGACTGGCTTATGAACAGCTACCCTGCTTGTCTTGACATTTGCAAGTTGCTCCCTAAGACTATGTTAGAGAATTGTTTAATATACACTTCTTGTGCACACATATACAGATTTGGAAACACAAAGATAAACTCTTCCAGAGACTACATATGATGAGCTCTATTTATGTGGCACTTGTTATTTTGATCCATTTGAATTCACATCAGTTTTGTTTCCCAGCAGCCAATTTACACATACAAATGTAGAAACTAGAACTGAATAGCTCTATAGGTTTCATTCAGCTAGAGTGTTAATGGAAGTAATTTCCAGTTTACTTGTGTACTTCAGTGAAAACACCTTCATTCATTCATTCATTCATTCACTCACTCAAGACATGTTTATTGAACATTTACTGGTGAGGCACTAGAGAACGCACAAAGAATGGTTTCTTTCCTGTAGAATGTAGAGAGAGAAAGGGGTGTTTCTTGTGAGCCCTGCCAGCTCCCTAGTTTGTGTGTGATTTTATAAGTAGGTGGGTTCATGTGCACATTCCTATGTGTATATATGACTGAATTGGGGAGTTGTGGTCATATTTTAAGAAATTGCAGCTTTCAGGTTCAGTCTATGGTTTTTGCCACCTGTGACACTGCAGTCAACAGTGGGAGTCTGTATGTGCCAAACTTTTAGCTCCCACCCGGGGGTACTCTGAGTGTGGAAAATCTGAGTGCTAAACATTTCAAAACAGTGTTTAGTGCAAACGTAGGTGGAACAGATTTCCAATGAATGAAGGCTATTTAGAAGCAGTTTATTAGATCGGAGGCAGAAGTTATACAAAGAAAGGATTGTTAGCTTGTAGTAGCAGGGCAGCGGGACATAAATTAGCCATTTTTCCAATGCAAATATTTATTTTCTGCCAAGATGTTAAATTTAATTTTAGTTCTGGATGGAAACGAAATGACCTCAACATAGCGTACACTGCCCTCTCTTTTTATGCTGAACTTTTGCAAACCATTGTGTACTTACCGTAAATACTGTTTACTAATGGCAGTGCAGCATTTTGCTGTGTTATACTTAAGTTAAAAAACTACATCATAAAGTATTCCAAAGACTTCTCCATTCTCTTGTTTTCTGGAATGCCCAAGGACAATATATAGCTATTCATATGATGTGCATAGGTGCTTCTGAATTTAAAATTTTAATTTGTGATATTCAATTTAGGTTTTCTTTATTGTTAATTTTATGTAGTCATAAGGATTTCTAAACTTACTTTTAAAATTCTCTCAGTTTTTTAGAATTTCTTCTTTTTCTAGTGAAAAATTAGAGATTCCCTGAAATGCTTTTAAGATTCATATCCTGTAACTTAGCTAGGAATGTGACCATAAAATCCATTGGTATTTGAATAATAGTAATTTTAAAGCCACCACTTTACAGGGACAAAACATAAGAACAGCCTTAACGTTTTTCTTTGAGCCATTCTAAATTACAAATATTTAACTGGCCCAAGATCAAAAGTTCCTCATTGGCACTTAGGAAAGCTGACCACCTCACTAGCAAGGATACCTTCCATAAAGAAAATAAACCAAGAATACAAATGTGAAATTTAATAGCTGTTCCACCAGTAATTGACATTCTCTAACACGTCACTAAGAAAATACCCGAGCGCGTGTGTACCCTAAGTCTCATTAGTTCCATATGATAAATACTCCATGCTTCTGCAAACTGCTGAAGGATTTTTATACTTAGTTCTGGAATTTCCCTTGCTATACCCCTTCACCAGATGCTGTGTGCTAATCCCCTATTTACACATTTAGGCTGACGCTGGGCAAACCCCTGGGGGAAGGTTGCTTTGGGCAAGTGGTCATGGCGGAAGCCGTGGGAATCGACAAAGACAAACCCAAGGAGGCCGTTACCGTGGCCGTGAAGATGTTGAAAGGTGAGAGGGGCCCCGGAGGGTGGGGGTGGGGAAGGGTGGATTGTCTTATCAAGAATGTTCCCTTTGTGGCATGTGAACTCTATCATGGCAGGAGGTCAGAGAGCACATAGTTGACCTAGGGGTTGAGACGTTTTTTAGTATAAATCAGCATCTTGGACAGACTATTTATCTTAAGCTGTATACTTTTAAAAGAGCCAGTTTTGTTAGAAAGTGGTAGCCTCCTACATTGAGTGATTCTTTGACTCCTTCTAGATGACCGTGATTCTTCATTCCCTCTATGTTTTTCTGTGCTTCGAAAGTAGTGGCTCATATATAATTGGATTGAGATGGGGGTTGGCATGTTGGATTTGGGACCCAAAACTTAGAAGTAAAGGGAAACTCACATTTTTGGAGGGACCGAGAAGGCTTAGGGAAAAGAATGCCTTCTCTTTTATGTGAGGAAAAGCAAAAATGATACTAGCCTGGGAGAATCACTTAGAGGCTGAAAAGTTACTAACAAGATTGGGGCTGGTGCAGAACCTCCTGGGACATGTAAACAACCACCCTGAGATGTGTATGTCAAGTTGCGTTTCTGGGACTCTGAACATTTCTGCATTAACCTCCCAGCTCTGCTTCATGCCTATGTCCAAGGAGCTTAAAGAACTTTTAACCATTAACTTATTCCTCCTGCAGTATTCTTTTATGAGAAGAGTTATAGGGAACGGTCACATTATAAATCCTATTGTAGGGATGTCAGAAAGGAGATCCCAAACAGTGCTTCCCACGTTCCAGGCAAAGAAATCTCTCCTTGCCATACGGGGTGCCTGGCGTGTCGCAGGCACTTTGGAGTTAGGCTTTGTCTTTCTTTCATGGGCTCTTATGGGATAGTCACCACAGCCCTCCCTGAGAGAAGTGGTAGACAAGAAATAGTCAAAAAGATGTTGGTTTTTTTTTAAGCTATTGATCTAAACGGATACCAAGGCAAACTAGGGGACCTTGGGGCCTGATGCTGGGGAGGAGGACTGCTTTCTTCCTTGCGTGTTGTGGCACCACCAGGGAAGGCAGTTCTGGCTATGTACCAGGAATGGGTGTGGGAAGGACCTAGGTTTCATGTCTATTTCAGCAGAACTTCTGATTTTGTTAGTGAGACTCAGAGTTATGTGGGATATTGCAAAAAGGGAGGTCTGGGAGATCTCTTTCTCTTTTAAGAAATAGAAGGGCATTAGCACCTGAGCCCTTGTGATGCATCCTTTTTTAGAACCAGTGAATGGCTAGGAGCCTGGAGAGAGGGAAACATCCCCAGCTGTGTGTCCACGGGTGTGTCTCCCTCCCTCTGGGTGGCAGAAGGCTCCCATCTCCGTGTATGTTGGACACACAACCAGTTGTATTGTTTTTCCTTTTGTGAAACTAAAAAGCTTTTTGAAAAATGGTTCCTATCCATGCCCCTATTTCATCTTTTTAAAGGAAGCCCAGATTTTTCCATATTGAATTAGCTTGAAGGGGGCACACAAGAAAGAGTCCTACCACCTGTTAGAAGTTAACGGTGAGCCCATGTATGTAGAGCCTGTGCCATTCGTATTTGAAATTGTAGAGCAGAGGATTATAAAACTTTTTTAGGATGAGAATCACAGCCCCTTTAGGGAAGCCACTAGAAGTCATGATCCTTCTCCTGCTCAGAATGTACATGCCCACGCGCTTATGGACACAGTTCCTGGGAGCCCCCTGAGCCCATCTGTGAATGTTCTCAGGGCTGCTGGGCTCAGGTTAGGAACACTTGGTTTGGAGAAAGGCTGCAGTAATTTGAAACATCCCTACCCTTGGTCTCCTCTCTGGTTGTCTTCATAGGTGCACTTAGGCACCATGAAGTTTGATGGAGCTTTCTGAGACATCATCGATAAGGCAGAGGGGAATTATTCCATGACTGAGGAAAACACTTTCAGGCTTGTGAGGTTTGCTGGGAAAGAACTGGCCTTGGCGTCAGAGACCCATGTTCTAGTCCTCACCACTGACCCTGTTGCCCACCCCCACCTCCCTCCATTGACTCCTTTGACCCAGAGCAGGGCCTTTGTCCTTTCCCTGATAAAATGAGGGAGATGATTTGGAAAGTGTTTTCTGGCTCTAAAGTTCAATCTCATGCTGTTTCAACTAAGTTTTTGGCAATTAACAGTGGCAGCCCATGAGTTAGAGGAAACGAATTGATTTGTGATATACCTACTGTTCGTAGATGATGCCACAGAGAAAGACCTTTCTGACCTGGTATCAGAGATGGAGATGATGAAAATGATTGGAAAACACAAAAATATCATAAATCTTCTTGGAGCCTGTACACAGGATGGTGAGTAGGAGGAAAAAACATGCTTTCATCTAAATATTCTGTGGTTTAAAGTTAGAATTGTTTTAGAAACAGTTGGGTTTTTGGATCCTGCTCCCAGAACACCTCAAGTGAATGTTTAAAGTTCTCTTTAGGCCGGGCTTGGTGACTCAGCCTGTAATCCCAGCACTTTGGGAGGCCGAGGCGAGAGGATTGCCTGAACCCACGGGTTTGAGACCAGCCTGGGCAACTTGGCGAGCCCTCATCTCTACAATAAAATAAAAAATAGCTGGGTGTGGTAGCGCGCATCTGTAGTTCTGGCTACTCAGAAGGCTGAGGTGGAAGAATCTCTGGAGCCCAGAAGTTCGACGCTGGGGTGGCCGTGGGCGTGCATGCCACTGCACTCCAGTCTGGGCAAAGGAGTGAGGCTCCAACTCAAAAAAAAATTCTTTTTAAAATATTCCTAGGAAGGTGTTCCCAGCCATGAACACAAAGGGACTCTGTGCCCATGTTTGGGGGACTGGAGAAAGAGGGGTATTGGATCTGAGGGCCTGTAGACTCTGTTTCCAGGTCGTTACTTGTAGGGTGTTTGGGAAAAGGCAATATTCTTATGTTTTTGTTTTGTAAGTGCTAAGAGATTTCTCAGAATCAGATTCTATGTTTTGATTGAGAAGTTCTCCCTTCAAAACGGAGTTGAGGAATCTACATCTTGCTGTGGGCAACAGATGGTGAGCTCCCAAGAATAACTTAAAAGGAAAGAAAATGCTATGAAAGAATATGTTATCTTCCTTAGGGGCGACAGACCCTGGCTTCTTTTGTTGATCATTTACTGATACTTCAGGCATCAATTTGACAGTAACTGGTAAACTTGAAAATGCCTGTCTTTGACTTAGCAACTTCTCTTTTAGATCTGTAGAGGAATCGGTAAAGTTTTTCTTCAAAGGTTGACTATAGGCATTTTAGACTTTTGCGGGTCTTATGGTCTTTGTCACAACTACTCATTTCTGCTATAGTGGTGAGAAGGCAGCCCAGAAGTTCAGAAATGAATGGACCTGGCTATGTGCCAATGAAATGTAATTACCCAAACAGGCAATAGGCAGGATTTGGCCTGCGGGCTGTATTTGCCAAGCCCCCATCTATACCGTGGAGAAATTATTGCACATGTGTATAAGAAAAGATGTGCAGAGATGTTCATTACCCACTGTCTGTTATGGCTGAAACCTGGAAGCAGATGTCCATGAGGATGAGGGGGATGGATGAATAAAGGTGGTGTATTCATACGGTAGAGTGTATAAACATCATTTGTAGCTGTAAAAAGGAATGATCTAAACTTGTTTTTATCAGCCTCTAACGGATAACGTATGGGAAAAAGTACTGCAAAGCCCTAACCTTACTATACACTTGTATAATTAGAAATAATATGTGACATACTGCTATGTTCATAAACTAGTTAAAATGAAATGGAAGGATATACTGGAAGGAGCAAATTGTGTTAGCCATTGCTTTCCAAGAGGGCACAGGTGAAAGACTTGGGGTGATGGGGAAGCACACTTCACTTTATTTTATTTCTTAAAGTCTTTTGAGGCTGTCATGACCAAGTATGGATGATCATTTTGGAGAGATTAGCAGGCAGGTCTTCAATTTTTATGTGTGCTTTGAAACTTTTTCAAAAAAGCAACAGCAAAAAAAGCGCACTGGGTTGCTATAACTAAAAATCCTTTGCTGAGTTGCCCAGGGGCAGATCCTGGATTCTCTCCTCAGGGAGCATCTCTCCTTCCTCAACAGGGCCACTCTATGTCATCGTTGAGTATGCCTCGAAAGGCAACCTCCGAGAATACCTGCGAGCCCGGAGGCCTCCTGGGATGGAGTACTCCTATGACATTAACCGTGTTCCCGAGGAGCAGATGACCTTCAAGGACTTGGTGTCATGCACCTACCAGCTGGCCAGAGGCATGGAGTACTTGGCTTCCCAAAAAGTGAGTCCTTCACAACCTACTTGGTTGGGTGGAATTCAATTAAAAATGTCTTTGAAGAAAACAGGCAATTTGGGTGTACTCATTTGCTAGATCAAGCCCTCGCTTGTCTTGTACAACATGGAAAATATTTATTGCATTATTCACATTCGGGTTTAATGAACTCTAAAGCCAAAGTGGTCTCATAAGCCTATAACATAACAACAATGCATAGGTAAGTAGAAAAGATGTCTCTTCTTTGAGACAGGGTAAGGCCGGACCCTCCTGGGAAATCAGTTTTCCAGGGGAAGATGGTGTTTTAGGGGGTGGGCCCTTTAATTATGATTATTTGGGGGGGTGTCTTTATTTGTTTTGTGGTTATTGAGTTTTTGGACATAGACTTTGGGTGTTGTGTTTAGGATTTTGAGTTTGATATGGCATTAAGCATTCAGGAATAAGGATCAAGCAGAGGGATATTTTGGTAACCTTGAGACCTGCAGATCTGAGTTTATTTTGTCTCGATTGGTGGGTGACCCTCTGTGGTTAGAAGTTGGCCAGGTCCCCTGAGGTGAATCGCCTGCATTCCAAGCATGCCACTTGCAATGGAACTTTAAACATTTGAGTTATTCTGAAAGCAGTTAGGCAGGTGTGCAGATGTGGGGGGGGGTGCATTTAGGATGACCCAAGATACCCTTCTCAGCCTCACACTCGGAGAGGGAGAGGGAAGTGCAGAGCTACTTCCTTGGGCAGAAGTGGGCTCAGCTCCTACCTGCGGTGCAGGTTGTTGTAGCATCAGAAGTCCTCGGGTTCCCAAAAATGAAACCCACCAGACCTCTGGTGGGTATGGACCTGCTATCACTGAGGGGTCTGGAATGCTTGAAGGGTAATAGGCTCCCATCTCCACAGGGGCCATGCTGGTCATATGAGTGAGTGAGGCAACCTGTCAGATCTGCAGAATGTGGAAAGATTCAAGGGACGGCTGTATCTCAGCCTGGCTGTCTAGTCACGTAGGAACAAGGCCCAGATCTACCACACGTTCAATTGTTGTTATGGTTGTTGTTTTCTCCAAGAGAGTTTAGAGTTTAAGACTTTCCCAGATTTTTTTTCTGTTAAACCCCACCCCCCAAATATATAGCTTTTAGGAAACCAATGAAAACATAGTTTTGAGTTCTGTGTTTTGTGTGTGTGTGCACATGTGGTAAGTTTTTGTTATCCAGAGACAACCAGACAGATCCTGAACATGGGACATTTGATAAGACATGAGTTCTAAATGTTAGTGTCGAGAAAGATAAAAATTGCTGGGAGATGGTTCCACATTAAAGGAGGCTAATGAGATGCGCTTTGGGAAGCTGAGGCAAGTGGATTGCCTGAGCTCATGGGTTTGAGACTAGCCTGGGCAACTTGGCGAGACCTCATCTTTACAATAAAAATAAAAAAATTAGCCGGGCGTGGTAATGCACGCCTGTAGTTCTGACTACTTGGAAGGCTGAGGCAGAAGGATCGCCGGAGCCCAGCAGGTCGAGGCTGCGGAGGCTGCGGTGACCATGAGCGTGCTACTGCACTCCAGCCTGAGCAATGGAGTGAGACGCCACCCCCCCACCCCCAAAGAGACAACTCTAAATGTAAGAATGGGATCCTGGACTGGATCCTGCTAAGTGGGAAGGGAGCCAGCGCTTATAAAGGGCATTTGTGAACAGTTGAAATTTGAATATGGACTGTATCTATGACTGATAATCTTTCTGTATCATTGTTGAATTTGGGAGGGTATTGTGTTAAGGTAGGAGAGGTATGCTGAAGAATGTAGGTGTGAAGTGTCAATGATGCCTGCAGCTCACGTTTAAGTAGTTCAGCCAAAAATGCTTGCATATGGTGTGTGGAGGGGATGGGGTGTCGGGAGAGAGTAAGTGTGCAACTAGCAAGTCTGGCAAATCTTGATGTCCATTGTACTGTCTCACCTGTTCTGTGTCTGTGAAATATTCCCAAATAAGATTCTGTGGCGGGCGCCTGTTTTCATCTTCTGATCCTGGTCACTCCCTGCCCTCCCTGTATGGGAGATGGAGGAAGCAGTTTTGTACCCAGCAGGACACTGCTACTAACAGAAATGTGGTAGGAAGGCTGGCCTGGTCATTTTATTCAGTCCTTCAACGTGTATTCCGAGAGCACCGCAGATGCCGCAAGCCCTCGGTCAGGCTCTCCAATGAGGTGCCAAAATTGGCATAGTCCTTGACCTCTTGGGACAGGAACCATGAGTGAAAGTAGAAGAGACTGACAATAATTGTGGGAATAAAACAAAGTGTGTTAAAAAAAACATGAGAAACGTGGTATAGAGAAAACAAACAGTGGGATAAAGCCCTACTCATTCAGGGCCTAAAAGACCCAGGCGAGGACCTTGAACTTTGCCTGTCACTGTTGTGGGACGCCATTGAGGAGGAGTAATAGGATCAGGTTTGTACTTTAAAGGTGGCTCTTGCTGCTGCCTACATGGTGAATTGGAAGCACTGAGACCCTGTCAGAGGTGCTGGTGGTTTGGGTTGGGGCTTATTGGGTCCAAAGACCCTGAAAGAAGCCAGTAGGTTGATGTTGGACATATTTTACTATCAGAATAGTTAAGGAATTGATTAGGTATGAGGGAGAGAAAGAGGCATCAGGGATGGTTTCTGGATTTCCAGCTTGAGAAATTGGATGGTGGTGCAGTTTCTTGAGTCAGGGAAGACTTAGGAATCATGGATTGGACAGAGGATCCTGGGTTTTGGTGGAAAATCCAGAGCTCATTGTGAACTTATCTGAGAGTCATCCAGGGGGAGATACCAAATAAGAAGCTACAGCTCTGAGGGTGGGCTGAACAATTGGCAGCCGGTAAAGGAAGATGAGATTTCAAACTGTGTGGATAGACAGAGTCATCTGGGGAGAAGCTTAGAAGGGGGAGAATAGAAATCTGAAGTTAAACCCCGAGAAGACTCTCAAATTGAGAGATTAGCTATAAATGCAATCTCTAACGGTAGAGGCTGAGAGGTGGGAGGAAAACCCGGATGTGGTTCCCAGAGGCCAGCAAAGGGCAGTTTGAGGAAAGAGGGAGTGGGCATTGTGTATCATTCTGCTCAGAACGAGGAAAGAAGCATGTGTGTTGGATCTGGCTAAAGAGACAGTCGTGGTACCCCCAGTCTGCCCCATCCACCTCCATTCATCCCAGCCCATCCTCTTCCCATTCTATTCTCAGCCCACTCCCATCCACTCCTGCTCACTCCCAGTACCAGAGACTCAGATTCTTCTGGTTTGGGGGCCACTCAGTGTAGTGGAAAGAGAACTAAGAGGCGAACTTTGTGAAGCTGAGCAAATGAATGCGTTTTAGAATGGAAGAATGGCAGCCCCCTTATTAAAACATTGGAGTAATGGTAATTGCTGTTACTACTAATTGCTAGCCATTTTTGGAGAGGGCAGCAACTTGCAGGCAAGCATTTGACACATAATATCTTATGTTATCCTCAGAACACCTCTGACATAGGTGGGGCTAGAATCCTCACCAAATGGGTAAGGATGCTGAGGACCGCTAGGAAGTGACAGGAAAGCTTTGAGCCTAAGGATGGCAGGAATCGCTGTCCTCACTTCTGAGCTAGGAGTGAAGTGGGTGGCCCCAGATCTGAGTCTTCTCATCCTCCACCCAACTATCCTCTCAGGTGATCTCCGCCTCTCTCTGGACTGAGGCAGAACCAGTAAGCTTCTCTGTTGTAGGGCTTTGTTTAGTCATCCTATGTGGGCTCATTGCCTCAGTTTTGCATGAGAACCCAAGGTTAAGGAACATTGCATGGGCCTTAGGGTATTGCATGGTTCCAAAGTCCCTTGCTGATGACCACCTGCAACTGAGGACCTAGAATAGTTTAAAACCAGTGTGGATGAAGCTTTTAAGAATGGTCCCCAACATGGAGGGCTTATTCCCGAAGATGGGGGGTGAAGAACTTGGGCAAGGGTCAGATCCTGTCTCTCCAAACCCGCCCCCCTGACCACAATGTGGAGTCATGGGCTTGTAGAGACCTGCTTCCTGGAAGGAAAGAGCAAAGGAGAATCACTGAGTGTGTCGTCACTGAGGATGTGTGATTACGAAGTCAGCTCAGTAGGCATGTGCTGGGCCAGGGTCTGTGCTCAGCTCCAGGAGTATTGAGATGGACATATAGTGTCTGACCTTGGGCAGCCTCCAGTTATGCATGTGTGTGTGGTGTATATAGTAATACAGTTAGGTAGTGGGATATATGAACCTTTTATAATTTATAAAATTCTTGCTATTTTTAGCTTAAAGCACACTAATTTTTCTTTTTTAACCAGTTTTCCTCCTCCAAAGTGTTAAACCCAAACAGAATTTTTTTTTAAAGGAAACTCCAGTTCTCCCATCTGTAAAATAGGTATGATAATACCCATTTCATAGGTTACCATGGGAAGTCAATGTAATCAGCCATGCAGGGCACCCAGCACACTGTATCACTAAGTTCCTTTCCTTAGTGACACATTGACCTTTATCTGTAGAAGAACGTCACAGGGTCCTAATTATATAAAATGGTCAGCTCTCTGGGGTGGAGAACAACTCATTCCTGTAGATGCTGTGGATTTGGCTTGCCTTTAATTATTTTCTTTTTCTTGGGAATGAGTTCTAAGTCTCTTGTTCAACCTAGAGGGTGGAATTGGGTGTTTCCTAGCACTCTGGGTACAGGGAGGTCCATGCTAGATTCTGGCTGTCGCTAAGAAAATGGTGGCAGGGCTGTCGGCAGCATCTCTGTCCAAGCTGAGCCCTGATGCATGACCAGAGCCCATGTAAGGGAAGCCGCATTCTTCTGGCCACACAGCTTGCCAGACACACAGAGCGTATGTCGGCAGGAGCACACCACCGGGAGAGTTTGGCCCAGGGCTTGGAAGTTCAATTTGAAGAGGTCTCCAAAACCGGGAACTCTGCTCCAGCCCCAGCCGGATCTCCAGGCAGCTTCTGGGAACTCTCACATTTCCTGCCTCCAGCCTGGCCAGGGCCAGGCAGACTTGTGTGGCTTCCCTGCTTTCCCATTTCGGGACTTAGCCCACCCAGGGGGCACTGAAACAAATGCACACAAGGAATAGTTGGGGGAGGGGGCAGATAAAATAAGTCCTTATTTATATTGCAGTAGTTGTTCGCCTTGCTTCTTTTAAAATCGGCCATTTCTCAGAGTGCCGGTCTGAGAGCAGCCACATTTCAACCTTGTCGAATGGATGGATAAGACTCTCTGCTTCATGTGATAGGTTAGCCGTTGCCAATAGCCTCTGCAAAAGCCTTTGATGGTGATTGCTTGCTTATTCATACTTTTTCTTTTCCCAAAATAGGGGGTGATGATTTGGGAACCTAATTACCATTGTATCATGGTGAAATCCTGGTATATTCAAGTGTAACTAAAACACAGCAGCTCACAAAAGCGTATCATCTATAGAAGAGAAGAACAAGAGTCATAATAACTGGACCTTTCTGAGACCAAAGAGTTAGTATCAGAATAGTAAATTAGTTGTTCTGTAACAAACATTTCAGCATTTACTCCGGATGGATGTGGCATACGTGGGTTGAGACCTTTGTGTGGGCCAGTTGTTATGATAGACTGGGCTAAGGTTACGTATAGACTGTCATGGGCCATGACAGAGGCCAGGAAAGGGCATGACTGGCTATTTCAGAAACACAGGTTGTGGGAGGTGTGGAAAGTACAATTGGACCAAGTTTGGAAGCCTGGAGATCTATTAGGCAGGCAGTGTGGCTGTCATGCGGGTAAGGGTGGGCAGTGATGATGGCCGGGACTAAGGGATTAGCAGTGAGAATGGAGTGGGGTGGACAAATCAGAAGGCATTTTGGAGCTGAAATCTGTAGGACTTGGGAGGAGTGTGTGGAGAATGCTGGTGTATACCTCTCTGATTGAGAGAGGTAAAGAGGATAAGAATTAGGGGAGTAGAGACCCTGAATTTGAGATGTCAGGGGGACATCGGTGTAGAAATGTTCTATAGCCAGTTGAAAATGAGAACATGGGTCTCAGGAGAGGCGTCAGGGTGGAGGTACAGATTTGCAAATATTTTATATGAATCTAAGAATTGACCCCATGAGGATATATGGAAATACATAAACTTAATGAGACAGTTCCTCTATTTGGAGGCACAGAGAAAGAGGGGAGCCAGCCAGAGAGTCTGAGAGGGTGGGGAGAGAGGAAGAGAATGAACCAAGAGAAGGGGATGGGGTACAACTCAATGGAAAAAATTGAGCCAGAAATCAATAGTGTTAGAAGAAATCATTTGAGTCTGACAATTCAGAGATAACTTCATAAGATTCGGAGGGGCAGGGGAATAAAACAGGTTAGAATGTTTGGGAAGTGAGTAAGAGGTAAAGATGTGGTGTTGGAGTTGAGCCACTTTTCTGAAAATGTGGGTGAAAAGGGCAGGAGAGCAATGTTGAGATAAAAGGTTTTAGGGTGATCTACTATGGGTCTGTGTGGAGTCCAGAGGAAAACGCCAGCATGGTTGGACAACTGTGCAGTTTAGTCTGTGCTTTGGAAACAATTCATTTATCTATTATTTCTGTGTTTGTTTATAATCAGAAAGTAAATCCCAGTGTCGTGTTCGGGTCTCTTGAGTGTTCCTAGCTGACTGGCTTAATCTTATAGCCACGCTTTGTCTCTTATAGTATACTACAACCAGTTTTTGACGTAAGCTATATTCTCTGTCTCCATTTTAAGAAATGAATATATTTTCTTTCTGTTTTTGAAGCAATTTTAAATTAGTTCTTTCTCTCCATTTCAGTGTATTCATCGAGATTTAGCAGCCAGAAATGTTTTGGTAACAGAAAACAATGTGATGAAAATAGCAGACTTTGGACTGGCCAGAGATATCAACAATATAGACTATTATAAAAAGACCACAAATGTAAGTCCAGGGCATAAAACAGCGGGCAGGGGGTTGAGGGTGGGAGTAGGGGGCTCAGAATCTTCCAAGGAGATAGATTATAGATGCTGAGGGTTGCAAGGGACTGAGAAGGCCTCATTCCTCTGCTCCTCATTTATGTTTATTCTCACACACTCTCAGTAAACAAATTTAGACTATCTTTAAGATAATTTTAGCAAATGTGAAACACTCTTATGGGGGGTGGCCAGAAAAAGCTGGAATTATCTTTTTATAGGCAGGTCCCTTGTAGTATAGTCTTCCCCTGCTAGGTAAGTTTTCTAGGATCGCATCAGCATTAGTATAGCAGGGAGTGTGGTTGTGAGAGGCTGCGTTGCAGAAGAAATGTCCCAGGTTGTGGCACATGGGTGAATGGCTCTTGCACCCTGACGACGTATATTCAGCAGTTTTTGACCAGAAATGGTATGATCCCTGTGCTCCACCCTCCCATTCACCTATCTTGCCCTGAGTGACTTTTTTTGCTTCCCGGATGAAAACAGTCCTCAAAGGGAAATGTTCTGCTGATGTGGAAGAGGTGAAATAAAAAATGGCAGAAGCACTAAAAGGCATCAAAATTGACAATTCAAAAACTGTTTTGAGCAGTAGAAAAAGTATCTCGATAGGTGTATTGCATCAAACAGAGAGTACTTTGGAGGTGACTGAAGTTTAAATATGTAAGACTAAATATGCAATTTTTTATAAATAAATTCTGAGTTTTTTTGGCCTCCCCCCTCATATATGCAGAATAATCAGTAGCCTCTAGGATATTCTTACAACTCTTGCCAGGAGCTTTCATCGCAAACACTAGAGCTTGGAAGTTACTGGGTTAATTTTTGCCTGTAAGTTGGTCAAGGAGTGTCTGTGTGCTAGGGAGATAAATGATAATGAGACTTCAAGGAGGTGACATTTTATTAATGTGTCCACATTTGAGCATCTCACACATTGTGGATAGTCCTAGTTGGTGCTTATTTCTACTCTACTGACTAACCAATGAAAACCATTAGAATGTCAGTTCTTAAACAGGGAACAGCCCTGTTGAGCCTGTTAAAATAAACTTGTTTTAATATATTAGTTTTTACATTTTCTTCTGCACTTGCAGGGGCGACTTCCAGTCAAGTGGATGGCTCCAGAAGCCCTTTTTGACAGAGTTTACACTCATCAGAGTGATGTGTGAGTAACTCTTTTTTCTTTGGTTTCTTCATTGGCTTGAGTTGTAAAAAATAATATACGTTCTTTGCCTTTCTTCATTTTTGGTGGCTTCTGCATTTCACACATTTATAGAAGGTGCAGGAGCTGATGTTAGAGAGGACGGATTTTATGGTAGGCTGATAACCAATGCTGTGTTACTAATCTGCCTGGCTTCAAAGAGCACAGGAGGTGGAACCGCTGACCTCCTCCCACCAGAGAGGAAGTTTCTCCCTTGAATATATTCACGGATGTTCAACTACAAAGCTGCTATCTAATTTGCCAAGCTCTTGGCATGTGCTTCACTCCCTTAAAGAAATAATCCTAGAGCTCTTCCTACTTGAGGGCAGTTTGTCATATTTACACCTAGCCCAGATTTGTCATTAAAGGGTGGAGCTGAGTGAGACTTAGTCTACTCAAAAAGTCTCCACAGGGTCTGTTCGCTGTGTTTAGCCCTCAAAAATAAAAGTCAGGTCCTAGCGTCTTAGGTAATATTCCAGAAATATAGTAGACATCATATAATATTTCCACTGTGTTATACTTAAAAGTACTATTAACACCAGGTTCCTACTGATACTTTAGATTGGGAAATTTCGTTGATAGATGTTACCATTGGGAGAAGCCGGATGAACGTCCCTGTGTGTCTATAATTATTCCAAAGGAAAAAGTTGAAAAAAAAATCCCTTGAGTTATTTTTCACTTGTGTGAGCAGGGGGATTTCTAGAGTGGGCAATGATTCTGTACCACCACAGTTGGTCCTCTCAACAATCCCAGAAAGAAGATATTGTGATCCCATTTTTGCAATGAGCAAAGTGAAGCACAGACGCTGTTTCTGCCTGTGTTGTGCTGCTGCTTTTGCTCCACAGGAAAATTGGGGGCAGTTTCATTCCTGAAACTTACTACCTTCGAGTCCAGAAGGGTGAGTTTCTGAAGTGACCATGACACAGGAAATACTGAGGATCTCTGCTTGATCGCCCCAGGGGTTGAGTCTCCTGAAACAGGCTCAGCAAATCGAACTGCAAGTCTTAAAAGTCAGGTGTAAATTGTGCCCTGTGATACATTTTTGGTTTCTGTGGTGTGCAATTTGCCTGGGGCACAGGATTCCTCTTCCTAACCCCAGCCCTGTGCTGACTGCCTTCACGATCTTAGTCACAGAACTTTGGTGCCACAGATGCTCCACTGGTCACCACATAGGGCAGCTTTGATCTCCCCGAATTGGCTTGCTGGTGTAATTCTGTCAGCTGCCCGTCCTGGTAGATCACAGCCCTTGGGTCAAGCACAGAAGGAGCTGCAAGAATTGGAAAGGTACGTTGAGAAACTTAGAAACTGAGACCATTGCATCACTAACACTGCATCTAAGATGAGCAGCTTTATTTGAGAATGATGGTGGTTTGCCTTTTTGTCTGTTGATGGGAAATTCCATCGGAACACCCCCATTTTGTCTTCATTTGGAGATGCTCTTTGGGGGCAGGAAAGAGCATGTAGGATGAACTGTAGACGGGCCCATTTGTCTTTGAACTTCAGAAGTGAGTGGGCGTTTATTTTCTTAACTGGGCATGCTTAGATTTCTGCCATTCGGATGAATTAGTAACACTGTGCTTTCTCTCTTTGTTGCAGCTGGTCCTTTGGGGTGTTAATGTGGGAGATCTTCACTTTAGGGGGTTCACCCTACCCAGGGATTCCTGTGGAGGAACTTTTTAAGCTGCTGAAGGAAGGACATAGGATGGATAAGCCAGCAAACTGCACCAATGAACTGTAAGGGTTGTGGTTTCCCCTGCTGGTGTAACGGGGGACTCACCACACCAGTAACGTTTCTCCTGACTTGCTTGGTTTTCTAAGGCCCTCTCCCCCCAGTATTCTAAACGTGTGCTAAGAGGTATTGCTGAAGCTTTTGGGTCTCAATCCCAGGACTGAGACAGATAACTATACTACAGCCATTGCTTGCCCAAAAGAAGATGTATGGAATGGGCTTCAAATCAGAGGGCACCCAGCTGCCCAGTTGAGGGCTCCCAACTTCGCAGACTCAATTGGAGTGACCTTCCTGGGCCACTGTGCTGTGCTTGCCGTGACCTTCCCTCGGAGTGCCAGGAGGACACACTAGTCAGGAAATAAGCTAGAAAGCCTCAGGGCTGCCCCTGTGGAGTGCAGGATGAAAGAACCAACAAGCTGGGCATGGGGACTCACGCCTGTAATCTCAGCACTTAGGGAGGCGGAGGTGAGAGGACTGCCTGAACCCAGGGGTTTAAGACCAGCCTAGGCAATTTGGTGAGACCTCTTCTCTACAATAATTTTTAAAAAAAGAACCAAGAAAACCTTTCCCCTGTGCTTGTACCTGGCCCAATTCTAGCAAGTGTAGATTAGGTGTTTCCGAGCCTCTTTGACCATAGACCCGCCTGGGCAGCGAGACCTCATCTCTACAATAAATCAAAAAATCAGCCGGGCATGGTAGCACGGGCCTGTAGTTCCGGCTACTCGGAAGGCTGAGGCGGAGGGATTGCCGGAGCCCAGCAGGTC